GGCCCCCCGCATGATCCGGGGACAACAGGGCAGACCCTACAGTGAGAGACTGCGGGACTTGAACCTATTCAGCCTCCACAAGAGAAGGCTGAGGGGGGACCTGGTGACCGTCTATAAACTCACTAGGGGGAACCAGAAGGGTTTGGGGGAGACGCTGTTTCCCCTAGCCCCCGCTGGCATAACAAGGAGTAATGGGCACAAGTTGATGGAGAGGAGGTACAGATTGGACATCCAAAAAAACTACTTCACAGTTAGGGCAGCTAGGTGCTGGAACCAACTTCCAAGGGAGGTGGTGCTGGCCCCTACCCTGGGGATCTTTAAGAAGAAGCTGGATACCTACCTGGCTGGACTCATTTGAGTCCCGTTTTTGTTTTTAGGGTTTGTGGTTTTGTTGTTGTTGTTGTTCTCCCGCCCTGGCGGGGGGTCGGGCTAGAAGATCTATTAGGTCCCTTCCGACCCTAAAACTATGAAACTATGAAACTATGAAACTCAGCTCCTCAGCAGTGGATCCTGGCTAGAGGCAGCATGCTAAAAGGAGATTACAAGCCAGAGCATGCCACGAAGTGTTGCCAAGGGCTCTTTGTGGTTGGGACAGGCAACAGATGCTCTGTAAAGCCAGGAAGGTGTGGAGTCTGGCCCCCTGGAGGCATTCTCATAGAGCCAGCCTAGGCCAGAAATACCCCAAGGAAAGAACCAGTCCTCAGCACAGGAAAGTGCCAGCAAGCTCATATCTGCCAGCTCCAACTCCCAGCACAGTGTGGTCATAGTGTGTTGCCAGCAGCACTGTCAGGCCCAGTTCCAGCTGCAGTACCAGAACCTGTGTCAGTCCTGTGGCCCATGAGCCAGCAGGGAGGGGTATCATAGGGAGCATCTCAGTTGCCTGTTGTCCTTTCAGGCCATATCTTCATTTGGGACCTGGCTGGAGCCTGCTCCTCCTTACTGGCACAGAACAGATCGGACCAGAGCACTGGCAATACTGGGCCGGTGGCAGCCACAGCCAAAGCATTCAGGCCTTGGTGCAAGATTGGCAGGCTGCTTCTCCCCTCTCCTACTGCCCTCACCCCATCTGCCTAGCAAGTACCTCCCCCATCCTGTGCCTTTCCCTAGTCTCCATGGAGTCCCTCAGCACTCTTCTCCCCACCCCAACAGGCTTTGTACTTCCATCCAGAGAGCAATACAGCCCTCTCTCCCTCCCCCACAGGGTGACTCAGAGCCCAGGACTGCAGGAAGGCAGAACTGCTGCTGGGCTCTGAGCTCCAGCTCCCCTGGAGCAAGGGGTGGTGGGGTAGGCGTTGCACTGTGCCGCAGATGCTCTGCCAGCCTGACTGGTTGTCGGATGCTCTGCCAGCCTGACTGGTTGTCGGGGCATGTCCTGGCCTGCAGGGAAGGAGGGAGGGAGGGAGGAGGAGGAGGGGACTGCACCTGAGCTCTGCCTCACAGGCTGGTGCAAGGTGTGGGCTGCTGTCAGGACCATTCCCCAGTCCCCCACAGACATGATGAATGTCATGTCTCCGTATAGAAAAGCCCTCCTCCTCCTCCTGCTGTGTAGTTCCTGATAATGGGTTCAGCTCCCCTCCTCCATTACCTGCTTCCCCTGTGCCTCTTTGAGATACGGGGGAGCTAAACTGACCCAGGTGCAGCAGCGATTCTGGCCCCTGGACTGTGATCCCACCAGGGCCTGGCCAGTTTGGGCAAGGCACTGGTCCTACCAGCATATGGACCTGGCAGGGAAACCTGGCAGTTTCCACCTAGCAAGGGAAACACCATGTACCTGGGTCCAAAAAGGCAGTTCTCCTTAAGTGTTCCCAGGGATAACTGTTCTTCTGGTGTGATTTAGTACTCCCCAAGGGGTTAGGGCTTAAAGCCCACTTTATGGAAATGGGAGGCTCCTCTCTAGCTTGCTCCTGTGGCCATGTGGCTGAGGGCAGGCAAAACTTGGGGGCATCTGAACCCCCAGCCTCCAGGCTTGGGCCTGCACATAGGATGCCTGCTAAAAGACTTTGGAAATATCTGAAGCCCCTGGTGGGGGTGGAGGAAGTTTGGCAGTTGTAGGGCCACTTATGGTTCTGGGCTGACTCACAGATTTGGACTCGATTTGGCTGGGAACACGAAAAATGTATTTAAAAAACAAAACAAAAGGTTGAACACAGCATAAGCAGGGTTATGAAGATCCTCCTCCCATCCTTGCCCAGGGGTGCAGTTCACAGCACCCCAGCCTCACCGGGTCAGAGGAGAAGCACTGTGGGCATAAACCTTGTGAGCCACCAGAGGACATGACCCCTTTGGAGCCAGTATCTGTGGGCACCTGTGGTGTGTACTGGGGGGTGCAGCCCTTTCACCCCAGACTGAATGCTTGCAAGTTCAGATCCCCAGGTGAACCAGATCTCAGGTTTTTTTTGGGAGATAGATAGATAGATCATCTAGCAAGAACTTTTCTTCAGAGTCAGTTTTTTTATTATTATATATATATATATCTATATACACACATCGCTCCTCTATCATAAGTTTTCCATCACACATCCTAAAACCGCATTAAGAAACCCATGCTTCCCGTTACAATAAATGCACCCACTCCCCTGTGCTTCTGCGCACCCACCCTCCACCCCACCTACCCAAATCACAGTCCTTTAGTCCAAACCCTGATTTAGGGTTTACATTCTCAGTTCATTCACTGTCCTTGTCACTGTTGATGTTGCTGCCACTTCCACTGCTGCTGATCCTGTTGTAGTCCTTCTTGCTGTCTCCAGGTCCAGTTGCATCTCTGTCCTCTTCATTCTCTTTGTCCACTTCCCCTCCTGTGGGGTCTTTGAACAACCTGTGCCAGGTATCACTTTTCCAGATGAAGTTGGCTATGTCTTCTCCATCCTTGCTCACCAGTTAACAGTGGTAGGACTGAAGTTCACTCAGAAAGATTTTAACACAGTCTGTTTCCTTGAGCTCAGTGTGCTTGTATAACAGGAGGTTCCTGCATTGCCACAGGACAATCCTGACACAGGACACAAACTGGTCGAAAGGCATTGTCTGGGACCTCTGCTGCTCAGTCGGGTATCTGTACATTAGCACCTCCCTTGTCATCAGCCTGACTCCTGTCACTCTTTCATGGAGCCAGCTTACCTTTTCCCACACACCTTTGGCATATGGGCAGTGCCATAGGAGGTGGTCAATGGTCTCTGCTTCTTGTTGGCAAATTTCCCTGGGGCAATTGGGTCAAATCCCTTGTCCCTCCCTGTACCTCCATGCCCTCACTGAGAGTACTCAGTACACTATCAACCAACTCAAGTCCCTGTGCTCCTTGTGGAAGATCTGGTTCCAGATGTCTTGGCAGTCCTCATCAGGGAGCGTCTCCATGGTTGATAACCTGTCTGTCTCTGACTGTCCTCTGTATCTTTTTGTGGTTGAACATAGTCACTGGTCTTTCCTTCTGTAACCCATCCTTGCTCCAGAACTCATTCAACACCCCGTAGAACCAGGGCTGCTCCATGGTCCACGGTCTCCCGTTGGTTGGTATGTACACCCCCCAATATCTCAGGTGACCTGCAAAATCTTTACTAGACAGGCTGTTTTTGTCTCTGGCCCAGTCAGCAGCTTGCAAATCTGGCATGTGTACTGTGCTCCCAGGAACAGGTGGATGTCTGGCATCCCCCTGCCCCCAGCTCATTTCTTTTTGTACAGGGTCTTCCTTGCCACTTTCTCCATTCAGGATCCCCAGAAGAAGACACAGCACTCTGGTTTCTCTGGATGATATGCTTTGCAGGGGGGAAGACCAGTGCAGCGTACAGAAGCACTGGTAGCAACACTGCCTTTATGAGTGCCACATGGCCACCCATGAAGATGTGATGCCCATGCCACATACTCAACCTCTGCTTCACCTTGGCCTCCTTCTTTTCCCAGGCCCTCCTTCCACTCAGCTCCAGGTCAAAGTCCACCCCAAGGATCTTGAGCCACCTCACGGGGGACCAAGACCCCCAGGGACTCCAGGTCTCTGAGCTCACATACAGCCAGGCAGGTGCTTTTGCTCACATTGAGCTTGGCCCTCACTGCTGGTTTGTAAATCAATGTGTGCCACAGGACTCTTTTTACTGCACACTTATTCTTGCACAGGATGTTCAAATCATCCATGTAGGCCAGGACTTTGGCTTGTTCCTTACCTCCCCCAGGGATCTGGACTCCATGGATCCCAGGGGTCCTGCCTGATGCACTGAGCCAGGGGTTCGATGTCATAGATGAAGAGGATTGGGGAGAGTGGGCAGCCCTGACAGACCCCCGACTCTATCGTGATCCGCTCACTCAGGAAACCGTTTACCAGCACCTCGCTTACATTTGTGACAAGTTCCCAGGTGTCTCAGGGCCAGGCCAGGAGAAGGCACTATCCCTGTGACCTTGCTAGGGCCAGTGAGTGCCCATCTGGCAGAGGAACTTTCCAGACAGAGTGGCTCTGGGCCAGAGCACAGCTGAGCTCAGGCTCTCACTAGCAGTGGGCCAGGTGGCAGACTGAGTGCTGACTTATAAAGGTTTGGCTAACCTGTCTTTTTGAGACTCCAGCACCTGCTTGCATGACCCCCTTGACCAGGGAGGGAGTCCACAGTCAGGCACTGATACAAGGTGAGCCAGCAGCGGGACTCAGCCCTGGTAAGGGACAGGAGGCAGAGCTGGGTTCTGCTGCCCCCTGCAGGGCATCCGGGGATGAAGCATGGATTCCCAGCCAGGTGGGTTTCTGGCAAGGGGAACAACCAATGGATTTAGTGGGGCTAGGCCCATGAGAGCCATGCTGGGCACTGCAGCATGGCATGGTTTCATCCCATTGTAGCCCATCTGGGGAACCCATGGGAACATAAGAAGTCCCATACTGGCCCAGACCAATGGCCCCCTATCCCAGTAGGTTGATGTTCTGCCAGTGGCCACCATCACTTTTAATTGCATCCCCCCAGCATTTCCAGCAGCTCTGGAAGCCAGAGAGGTCGAAGTTCCTAAAACCATGCCCTACAAAGCTGGATATGACAGCTACCATCTGGGACCACTAGGGCCCCAGATGGAACAGGGGCAATAACGATCAGGGGCAGGGAGACATGGGCTCTGAGAACATATGGCCCACTTCTTCATTTGTTGTGATGAAGGCCATTTGAAGATGTGGCTTGGTAGCATATGGTCAGGTGCCTTCCTTGGCCTGGGGCAGCTCACAGAACAGTGTGTGGTGAGAGAAGCAGTGCATCATGTTGCTGTAGCTATCATGGTCCAGGGAGCATGCAGAAAGCAGGGCTGGTTTGGTGATATCTTTTATTGGTTAAGCTGCATGGTAGAGAGAGATGTCAAACAAGCCTTCAGGCACAACAGACCCTTGCTGTATTTGTTGGCTAGTGAGGAAGGAGCAAGGGGTGGGTCAGACTTTTCCCCCCCCCAGCCTGTGCAGGCCCTGCACAGACCCAGACCTGTCCAGCTGGGAATGATGGCTCTGCAATGGCCAGAAGAGGTTGCTGTATGAACACGAAGCTCTGCCCTGCCCTCACTGGGGTCGACTCTAACACTTCATTTAAGCCAGGGACAGGGAGAGGCCAGCCATGGGACTCTAGGTCTGGCCTCCTGCACTGCAGAGCAGGGCTACATTGAGAGCACTGCCCCCTATACCACCTCCTGGCAGGTAGAGAGTGATCCCCTGCGGCTGCTGCTGGAGCAGGCAGGGCATCCATCCTGTGCCTGGCCCACACAGCCAGCATCACTAGCCAGGAGCCACAACTCCCTCTGGAAGCGCTCACCCACAAAGGCGTAGAGTACAGGGTTGAGGCAGCAGCGGAGATAAGCCAGGCCGCTGGTGATAACCAGGGCCAGGTCCTTACTCCGGCTCTGGGCACAGCTCATCTCCCGATGGCCCAGCAAGTCAGCCGTGTCCAGGAGCACCATCAGGCTGTGGGGCAGCTGCAAACCCACAAAGACAAGCACCAGAGCCAGGATTACCCGCAGGGCTTTATATCGCGGGCAGGTACGGGTGGTCAGCAGGGTGTGGGCGATGGCAGTGTAGCAAGAGGCCATGACCAGGAACGGCACCACAAACCCTAGCACAACCTGGGCCAAGTTGGTGGCTCCCCTGGCTGCTTTGGAGATGCTCTTAGGGAAGACCACCCTGCAGAGCTGCAGGCCCTGGTGCAGCTCAGTTTGGCTATACACGAACTGGGGCAGGGCCAGCAAGGTGGAGAACAGCCAGGCCAGTCCAGCAGCAAGCCAGCCATAGCGCTTGGCACGGGGCCGCAGACGGTAGGCAAGAGGTGCCCGGGTAATGGCCACATAGCGGTCAATGCTGATGAAGGTCAGGAAGAGGAAGCCGCTGTAGAAGTTGAGAGCATAGAGGCCCTGCAGGGCCTGGCACGAGCCAGTGCCCATAAGCCAGCCCTGCAGCAGGCCAGCCACAGCAAAGGGCAGTGTCAGGAGCAGCAGTAGGTCAGACACAGCCAAGTGGAGCAGGCAGACGTCAGTCACACTGTGTGCCTGGCGGTAGCGGGCGTGGGTGAGCAGCACCAAGCCATTTCCCATCACACCCAGTAGAGACAGCAACACGTAAACTGCCGGCTGGTAGATGCGAGCAAAGCCTTGCACGGCCCCCTTCTCACACAGCTTGGGAATGATGCCATCCTCCCATGTGGCGTCAAAGTATAAATCAGTGGTAACTGTAAGCTCGGCCTCCCAGGGGCTGAAAGTCTGGGATTGACAAAGAAATAACATTAGCAAGGGTTCCCCCTAGGGAGCAGAACAGAGCACAGCACAATTCAACACAACGCAGCACATACCACTGTGTAGCGACACAGCATTGCAGGCCAGTTAGTGAAATGGGCTCTGGGATGAGACCCTGAAAACAGGCACCTTAGCACTGGCCCTGCCAGATGGGGAGGCCTCTGGATGCAGTGAGTGAGTTTCTGTCTCACACCTCACCCACAAGGCAGCAGGGTGATTTCCAGACACCCAGTCATTGCAAGAGCGGCAAGGCTGCTCGCAGCTCTTCCCTCCTTGCGTGGGAAGAGTGACCCCAATCACAGTTTCCCTGTGTTCAGGGAAGCCCTGCTGCTGGTACACATCACTCCCCAGGCACCACGTAAGCAGCCCTCACTCTGGGCTGCAGCTGGAGGACTTGCGGACAGCTCAGCATTTTCTAGCAAACAAGAAAAATATCTGAGGCCAGTAAGGCAAGAGTGACATGAGAGGGATGAACACTTAGCACCCTGCCCTCGAGCTGCCCAGTGCTCAGCATCCGCACACAGGCTTGCACACTCACTGACCTGAGCTGGGACAGGGCCTGGGCCTCTGTAGGATGCAATGGGTGAGCAAGCCATACAAGCAGGTATCGGGGGTCTCAAAGGAGAATGGATCCCAACGAAACTAAGCCAGCCAGTGCAAGGCATCCTGGGGGAGAAGGTGCATACATGTGCCCAGAAACCAGCAGACATGTACACAGAGTGCAAAGCACACACCCTTCTGCTTCAACACAGGTTACAGAGATGGAGGGCCATGGGGACACACCCTCTCCCCACTTAGGAACCCTGCTCTCAGTCCTGAGGCCCTCCTGGGGCTTGCTTCCTCTCCTTATTCCTAGCTGCCTGCTTTGCTGAATGCATCACGTTAGTCTCAGTGTCTCCAGCCCAGCCATGGGGGTGGGCAGGCAAAGCCCTCCCAACCATGATATTCCTCCAGTGCTGCTTGGGGGATCCCTGCAGGGGTCTCATCATATCAGTGGTGATGAGCTTGTGTCCCACTGGTGCAAACTGGTGTAAGCACCTCTGCCAAAGGGAAACTACAGCAACAGACGGCAACCAAAAAGGGTCTCACAGCTGCAGTTTCTTTCTTACTCGGCTGTGTGCTGAGCTGAGGGCTGTGGTAAGACCTACAAGCTCAGGCCTTACAGAGACCTAGATGCCTTCTCCTGCTCTCAGCCACAGCAATTGCAGGGCTGTGTGGTGTACTTTGGGGCATGAAGCAGCCCAGTGATGGCACAGACAGTCAAAACTCTATACATCTGTAGCAGAAAGCCCCCTTTTCCTCTTGCCTGCATTTGCTCTCCCCTCTTTGGATATGTTTCTCTTTTTCTTCCTTTTCTTCCTTCCTCTCTCTTCCACTTTAAGATAAGGAATTGTGTTTTAAAATTTATGTGTGCGCATTTTGTCTCTCCCCTTGTATTTTGGTATTTTTATCTATTTGTGTGCCATGGCATTTGTAGCTTATATTTTATACTCCTCACCTTTCAACTAAATGTGTTTTAGTAAGTTATACGTTGTAACAATGTTAACAAGGGCAGGAATCAAACTGTCCTTCCCTGTATCAGGCTGACCTCTGAAAGAGCGAGTGAATCAGTGATTGAATGCCTAACATGGAAGCAGGCAGCAATTAACACCTGGGAAGCTGCAGATCAACCAGCTGAAGAACTCAATAGAAGACAATGTAACAACCGGGAAATCTCTGATCAAGGGCTAGAAGCCCAGGCCTGAGTTAATCAACGCTGGGGACCAACTTTTGGACTGAATATCTCCAGATCGACCACTCCCAGAGCCCTATTCAAAATTCATCAACGGACTCCCAAACCTGCATGTACATGCGGACGACCCCTGGGGCTGACAGATGCCGTCCATTAGCCACCGAGGTGGGGGGGAAGTCCCACGAGGGTCAACGACCCCTGGATTGGGCAAACCTGAAAACTGGGGAGTCACCAAAGTCTGCCAAGGACAGATAAAAGGCAGTGAAAAGTGACCCTCAGTAGCGCCCTCTTGATCTCCAACTCGACCAGACCTGTCCAGCCAGAAGGACCAGCCGGTGACCCCCTTCTGGAAGATAACACCACGCTGAAAGAAGCCTCAACGACAGACTCTAGCACTTGTAGGATAGGTATACCTGACTCTGTAGCCTGCTACTGTGTGTGTGTGTATGTGTGTGCATGTGTGTGGGGGGGGGGACCAGCCCCAAGGTTTATAATTTAACTCATTACAGTGTTTCAATCCACCTAATAAACTAGAATTTTAAGGATCCCAAGTCGGACATTTGTAGCCAACACATCCCATGCTGGCTTCTGCCCAACAGCCATCCACTGAAATCCTGGAGCACAAAGCACTGCCCTGTCTTTCAGCAGCAGGACTGTGCCAGTCCAACTACATGGGAAGCAGCTTCCCTGCAGATGTAGTTTAGCCCCTGACCCCTGCATGGAGCTTGGTGTGGATACAGCCTGGAGCTCCATAAAGGGCCAAGGCCTGGGGGCTGCACTCCCCACTAGTGGGAGCTCAGCTGTGGTGGTGAATCCCAGCTTGGAAAGGACCATGGTGGGTCCCAGGAGGGCTACTCAGGACAAGGCACACAGATCAGCCCTGCCAGTGGCTCCTGGTCAAGCTGATTCACTTATTTTTATGGGTTAAAAAGAATCTTTATCAGGAAAACATGGGTTTCATCTCAAACAGAAACCACCCCCGCCCCCACCTTAGCAAGCCGGCAGACCCTCACCTGGTTGGAAGCAGGCATCTCATCCATGGCGAAGCTGCAGAGATGTCTTATTCATAGGTTCTGAGGCACAAAACACGTTCTGTGGTTGAGCGTATGCTGAGCTGATACAAATAACCCAGCCCTCTCCCCCTCCTCCACCCCTGCTTCTGACCTCAGGGTGTGTCCTGCAGTAGTCTGAGCCCTCCCTCAAGAATGTGTGTCCAAAAAACAGGGGCAAAAAAAGCATAAGGTTCAACTCCTAGGGGTACCCCACGTGCTCTTTGGAAACCAGCCCCAGAAGGCAAGGCCTTGCGGTCCTGTCTGGGTGACTGGATCGGTCTGTGGCATAGGCCACAGAGCACAATACAGCAGAGACCCCCTTGGTGCCACTGAGTAGAGGGGGAACATTTGGGACCACACCCCCTTCCCAGCCCTACTACTCTGGGTGTTTGCTACTTTACCCCATGGAGCAATGGGTCATGTATGGCACCTGCTCCCCTGCTAGCCCCCACTGAGGCAGGAGAGCTGCATCTGACACCCCAGCAAGAACACACGCTCCGAGTCCCAGGCTGCTCATTGCAAGTAACTCGGTTGGAGGCCTACAGGGAAATGAAGCACAGCAAGGTGCACTAGATAAACTGTGCCAAGGTGCGCTAGATAAACTGTGCTATGTGTCAGCATAGTGGTAGCACTGCTCTCAGTGGAATGAGGCTAGTTTATGCCAGCAGGAGTGGGGGTGAGGTGCTGTCCCATTACTTGCAGTGGATCACTGCTACTCTATGTCAGCTGGGGATCTGGCCTGATGCTCCTAGCCATGTGATGAGGTATTGCTCTCTGCAGCTGATCCAGGACACAGGGCTGGAGCCTGGCTTCCTTAGAGGAAATGCAGTGGGTTCTGGGAAGCATAGGCAGCCTCTGTTACAACATCTCCCCCAGGGCTCCCTGCAAGCCCCACCAGCTCCCCACAGCCAGGGCCTTTGGAAGAGGTCCCCTCCTCCTGCTCTTAGTGGATGCAGTACTACTTATAATTTTACACCAGAATTGGTAAGCTTCTTATTAACATGCAGATTAGTATTTGTCAGGGGTGGTGCACTGCTTTTTTCTCCATGGGGGCTGCAAGTCAATGTCAGTCTTTAACAGGCTTTCTGCCTTTTGCAGTGATAATCCCACAATCCTCCCTTTCTCGGGTGATGCAGTCATCCCCACAGCGGCTTATCACTGCTTCGCCTTTCAGACCCTGCCCATCCAAGCTGCTGTGCTGTCCCCCACCCAGCCTGTGGTGGAAGGGAGTAGAGCCTCTCACTGGTGATCTACTAGTGCTTACTGTGTTCTCTTTTAGAAGCAGCTAGAAATCAGTTAGAGCAGTAAGGTGTGTGTGCAGCCCTATTGGGGAGTTTGTTTATCTCTGTGGTTCCTCTACCCTCCTTTGTTGTATAATGCTTTTAGTCTCACTTCCTATGAACAGCAGGATCCAGGCTCCCCAGCTAGTCAAGCATCACGCTGCAGTGCAGAAACCTGGGACAGAGCCTTTCCAGGTGCAGCTGCTTTACATTCTGGCACCCACCGCTAGTGTTAATGCAAAGAAAGGAGCAAAACCCCCAGCCCAGCACGGTGTCTGAGAAGGTGAGGGAGAAGGGGGTAAAAACCAAAGGAAGGTAAGGGATTTAAAACCAAAGGGAGGGCACCTCAGGGTGCATGCAAAGTGGACCATATAAGTTGTAGAGAGGGTGCAGCCCCATTTCTGCTGGGAACAGTGCTCAGGGCACACACATGGCTGTCATCACTACTATTTGCTGCCCCCAAATCCCTGTTTCACCCTGCACTGCAAGGCTGGGGAGCAATGCTCAGCTACTCCAGCTCCTGAAGACATTACAGAACAGCCAAGTTGCAGGTGGACTTTCAAGTGATGGACAGCCTTAGGACCCTGGCAGGAATGGGGAACACCTGCAGGGTAGGAGCATCCCAGGCTAAATACCAACTGCAGAGATGGAGCCAGTACTGAATTGGCTTCAACCTGGCCTAGAAAGACACTTGCCCCATCCAACCCCCCTGTCTCAGCCTGTGTCAGGCAGAGGCTGTTGGCATGATGGGGGTTCCTGGCCTGCCTGTGGCCAGGGGCATGGCTTGACGGCTCTAGCCTTCACTTAAACCCAGCAAGCAAGACTGGTACTGCTGTCTCTCTGCTAAGAAACCAAACAGATGTCCTGTCGCCACCACAGCCTGGGGCCCAGCTGCACCTGGGGCTTTCTGTTCTCTTTTTCACCCTCATCCTAGGTTCTGTCTCAAGCCAAGCTCCCACCCCCTCACTGACAGAAAAGAGTCAGCACCCACCACAAGCAAAGGACAAGGGCCTGTGTGACCCCCAGCCTGGTCATGGCCTGGTTCCCTCCCCCTCTGCCCCAGATGCTCTTCAGTTCATGGAAGAAGACACCTCTTTCTACCTCCAGCAGCCTGCCTGCACCCTACCACATAAGCCAAGGTACCACATGACAGGACCTAGCAGAGATGAGCCCCGTGTCCATGACCTTTCCCATAGGGTTGGGCAGCCTCTTCCTTGTGAATCATGCTGTGTGGTCTCCCATGACTAACCTCCTCCCTCCCCCAGGGATGGTACACACCAACAACAAGCTTCTGGGGTGCATGCATGCTTAGAACTTCTCTTGGCAAAGGCTGGCCACCCCACGGCAGTGCAGACTGTCACAGAAGAGATGCATGCAGCACATATCCCTCCTGATGCAACAACTACTAGACTAAGAAACTGAGCCCAGGTAGGCTGCCTGCTGTTTGCAGAGACCAGCCCCTGGGCTTACACAGCCCAAAAGCACTTCCTTCCCTAATGGTAAGCCCTCAGCACCATTGTACCTTGGTGCCACAGGGTTCCAGATTCAAACCCCTGCTGTGCCTGTCCCAGAAACAGGTGCAGCCTCTAAACCCCTTCTCTGCCTAGCTAATATGCTATAGCTCTGTGCTGCAGCAGCCCTTCTAGAACAGAGGAGGAGGTCATTTCCATGGCCCTGTCAATCCACAGCCTGGACTGTGGAACAGCAGCTGGGTGGAGAGAGGGTTCAGAAGGGCTGACAAGGGGGCAGTCAGTGCTAACCAGGATGGGTTTGGGATGGTTTTGCTTGCCCAAAATCTGGGGATTCTGATTGCAACCTGGGAAACACCTTGAACTGGCCCAAGAGTCAGGGGTGTCTTATGCACAGCTCCAGGCACACCTGAAAGATGAGGGCTCCAGGGAACCAACCCCCACTACAAGAAGCAGAGCATGAGGGAGGGGAGGGAAACAGTTAACAGTGTGTTTGCAAAACAGGCCCCAGGCAGATGTGGTAGTCAGCAAACAGATTAAGCCCTGCAGGGTTAAGGGGCTGCCTAACTCTTCACTGCTTGGGATTTAGCCTGGTTTGTTCCTAAGCATCTGCTTTTACTTTCTCACCCCATCTCCCTGCAGGAGGCTAAAGCCAGCTGCCTCTGTGCCCTGCACAGCAATCTCCACAGCCCCAGAGGCTTCACTGTATCCTATACTCTTGCCCCATCTGCCTCTGCAAGGCAGCTTGGTGCTTTCCTCCACTCTTCCTTTCATACCCCCTGAGACAGGCTGGGAGTCTGCCTGGCGCCATGGTTGGGGCAGCAGAGACCTGCCCTTGAGCCAGTTATGGTACAGAAGGCCCTTGCTCAGGGCCAGTGGTTCCCAATCTGTGCTACGCATACCACCAGTGGTACACAGACAAACTGTCAGTGGTATGTGTTAACAGATTTATTACAGTTACTTTATATAATAAAAAATTGCTGGTAGTACTTAAGGTATCATTTTAAATTGGTGCTGCGCAGTCTGCCAGAGTTCAGAAACTGCTGGCTCAGGCCCCTCCTCAGCTCAGATGCCCCCACTCCCAGCCATGCTTGCAGCCACAGCTACCAGCACCTGCCACCCCATGCCAGTCTGGAGCCTGTATAGCTGGGAGACACAGGGGGAAGTGGGGTGTCCTCACATGGGGGGAAGGCCCCTGGTCTCCTGAGCCCTGCCCCTGCCTCCTCCTCAGTTTTTTTGTTTGTTTTGTTTTAAAGACATTTTTCATATTCCCAGCCAAATCAAGTCCAAATCCATGAGTCAATCCAGAACTGTAAGTGACCCCACACCTGGCAGACATCCTCCACCCCCACCAGGGGCTTCACATATTTCCAAAGTCGTTTGCCGGGCACCCTACGTGCAGGCCCAAGCCCAGAGGCTTGGGGTTCGGCTGCCCCCAAGTTTCACCTGCCCTCCGCCATATGGCCGCAGGAGCAAGCTAGAGAGGAGCCCCCCATTTCCATGAAGCGGGCTTTAAGCCCCAACCCCTGGTCGGGTACTGAACCACGCCAGAAGAACAGCTCACCCCGGGAATGCTTACGGAAAACTGCCGTCATGGCCCCAGATACATTTATTTCTTTATTTTTATTTTGAAAGACATTTTTTGTGTTCCAAGCCAAATCAGATCCAAATCCCCAGAACCGGAAGGGGCCCTTACAACGGGCAAACATCCTCCACCCCCACCCAGATACTTCCAAAATCTTTCGGCAGGCCTCCTGCCTTCACGGACCCAGATATACAATGGTTCCCCTGCCAGGTCCACAGTGCCTGGGGCAGGCCCCTGGGTGGGCACTGCCTGCCCCTTGCTGTGTCTCAGGCCAGGCTCCCCTCCGGCTGACAGGAGACTGGCAGCACCCACGGCAAGCAGGGAGCAGAAGACAGGGGCTGCACCTTCTCTCCACCGCCACCTCCCAAGGGCCGGTGGGCGCAAGGCGGCTGTGCCCGGCCTGGGTGCTCCGAGGGCGGCAGGGAGGCAACGCGGGGCCGCCGCATGTGG